CGCTTCATTTTGAGACTAAAACTAAAGATCTCTTGTCGCTGATAGGCATCATATCACCGGATCGAAAAATTTCAAAAGCTTGTTCGGTCGAAACCGATTGCAGATTCGTTTTCTCCATGGTTGATTATGTGGTACGCAATAACTTTTGGATCGGAGTACTTTAAGGAAAATTTTTCCCATGGTCTTGCTCAAAAATTTTTCAAAATGTTACCGTGGACCAAAGGCAAAACGATGTCGAAAATTTTTTCTGAAGTACCCCGATCCAGAAGTTATCGCGTACAACATAATCAATCATGGTGAAGACGAATCTGCAATCGGTTTTGACCGAACAAGCTTTTAAAATTTTTCGATCCGGTGATATGTTTAAATTGTAGAAATAATTGTTCTCTTTCACAATATGCGGTCGAAACCAGACTTCCCAGATGGTCCGCATTTTGCGGACAAATTCCGCATCTGGGAGTTTTTTCCGCAATTTGTCCGCTGTCCGTTATTTGTCCGCATTTTGAGAATTGTCTGCTTTTGCTGTTTTTCCCCTGTTTACATATAACATTTAAAAAAAGAATGTCTATCTATCGAGGATTCTCTTTCTCATCCTATTGTTAAACCAACACCATCCCCAAACATGCATAAATTAGTTTCGTTTATATTTTCGATTCCGTGCAGTAATTCATACGTTGAAAGTACATTTTCTTCCATGAAACATTTATTTAACGATAAAAGAAATCGTATGTCGACAGAAATGATTGCTGCTGAGTTAAAAATTCGTTTAAACTCATCGTTATCATGCACTGAAATTTATAATTATTTCTTATCAACGCCAGATCTGCTTAAACTTATTCATTCTAATCAAAAATATACAGTCAAAAAACAACGTGTCAACTAAAATCGGTACATTTCTGTTTGTTTTTCTCTTGTGTTTTATTGAATAAAACCACAAAGTGCTAGAGAAAACATTTTTTTGACTCTGTGCCGGCAGAGTTGCCAGCTCAGGCGCCACAATCAATGCCAATACGGCGATGTCCGCATTCTGAGAAAAATTTTCCGCAAGTTTCCGCATTTTGGGATTTTTATTCCGCATTTCTGACCTGAGGATCTGGGAACTCTGGTCGAAACGCTTTTAATGGGAGAAATTATTGTCAGTTCTCGCATTATAAAAACAGCTTTTTGTACGAGCTTTCTACGTGTTTTTTTACACCGTTTACTTAGACTTCTAACGGTACAATAATATGATCATTGTACGCTAGGTACGACGACCTCGACACTGCATGACTTAGTGGTTATGTTGTTCGTTAGATACTTCAAAAATATGTTGTCCGAAAATAACCATACAAACGGCATGATCCAGTCATCTTGTAAGAGTTAATTATATCTTAGCGTGTATAATACAGTTCATCTGGTTAGTCTGCGTGGTTTTCCAGAAAGCTAGCTGATGGTTAGAGAATGCGTATAGGATGTTCAGGTAATTGAACGAGAAGAATTCTACAGTAGACTAGCCTTCTGATCCGAGTTGCAGTTGAGGACTAGTGTCGATCTGAACGACCATTTTAGAAGCTTGTCAATTATAGAAAAGGTATGAAGCTATTAAAACTAACACATGTCAGCACCTGGTTTTTGGTACTTTAGATGAAATTTTTGGAATTAACTGTATTTTTTTTTAAATAAATTTTATATTTGCTTTAGATTTCATAAACATTCTTGTGATATTGACGCTTTCTTTCTGCTCAGAGAACACTCGCTGAAAAATAAAGTATATTGATTAACTATCAACGATTCGAAAAAATAAATTAATCGTCGATATCATGTTAAACAAGAATTGTTTGTTCATTTCTTAAGTTAGGTAGTAAGTTATACAACACGCACTGTTTTTTCAAATGTATAAAGTGAAGCCGGTTGAAATGAACAACGTTCTACTTCACTCTAAAAGCATTCGCTTCCACTTTATGATTTTTTGTTTTTCTTTCTTTTAGTTGAAACGTCATGTTTGTTTTTACTATAACAAATGTCGCACGTCAATCGTCAAAAAGAAATCGTACGATAACTTGTAACAGACACGCATTCGATTACCTACTCGACACTTATGATGCTTGTTTCTATTTCCTTTTCTCCACTGCTTTCTTTCTGTTCTGATTGATTCCAGTATAATTCAGCTGTGATAGCCTTCATCTATAAAAGAGTTAAATTAAATTCTTACAAATTTGGAATAGTCTAATACATCATATTTCCAAAGAATTTTTTTGATTGTTACTTTCTCTAAAATACAAATACAAATCGTTATAAAATGAGTTTACTGTTCATAGAACAAAGCGTATTATATTCTCTTTTTAGAAGAAAGATCAGTTCGGAGTATTCATGTGCAGTTATTGTGTTAACAGAAAACTAGAACAAGTATACAAACTTTGTTTCTTTTAAAATGAACGGGACTATATGACATATGAATAAAATACTTACCTCTCGCTCTCAAAATATGTGAGAAAATTAACACAAAAATGACTTACAAATCGCTTCGCGATATATGTTCATGACGAAATTTTTGAAATTTCAAATGTGTTTGGCGGTATTTATGAAATTGCAAGAGTAATACTTTTGAAGGTATAGACATCAGACTGCAAATCATAAAAATTCTACTTTTCAAAAAACAACAACATCCGAACGCGTTCAAGCGTATTATCAGAAAAACGAACATTTATAAAGGTTATCAGCCATACCGTTAAGCAAACTGGAACTTAAAAAATTAGGAAACATCTCTTTTCGTGCAAGATATATCGTGCATGGGTATGGGTATGCCGAGAGACTTAATCAATTTTACTTAGGATTCAAATCGTTGAGATATCAAACATTTCTGATTCTATTTAACGAATTTTATTTAAGGATGAATCCGTGTTTAAGGAACCGCTTCGTTTAAGAACAATGAAAATCTTGTAGCGGACACAGCAGCAAATTAATTTTTTTAGATACGAAATTCTAACAAACATTTGCATTAATACCAAACAAAAGAACAATATATTCTAGTCTATTTTTTCAATAAACTAAATACACATTGCTCGGATTAATTACTTTTCTTATTTAAACAACCTCACTAACCTAAGAAAAAGTCGCTTCGACTAAATGTGTGGTTAGACTCAAATGAATGATAAGTATATTCCATAGTAGAACATGATCTAGATGATTTAATTTTTTGCTATAAATGTTTCTTTACAAAACAGCAGATATTACACGAACTCTCGATCTAATATAGAGAATAGTCCCGTCAGTATTGCCAGTGGCGGATCCAGTCTACGAGCGGTACAAGCGACCGCTCATATCTTTTAACCAAACAACTATTTTTTTCCAGCAGAACTCTCTTAGAATAATCTGTTTCTATGACGACCATACGTATCTCGCACTTTTATCGCTATACCGCACGTACCAAAGAACAATTCTGGATCCGCAATTGGTTATTGCATGCAAAAAGACGAACAGTATTGAATGTTTTCAATCTAAAAAAGTTCTACACTAGTCGATGTATGTTCAAAATTTCTTTTTCTCTCTCTGAAAAATAAATTAAACAATATTGGAAACTATTTTATGTAAAATAACATTGTCTGAGATCAATCAATTGATATTTACCTTTTTTGCCTGCATCGCGAATCCCCGAAAAAGAAAAATCGTTAGGAAATTTCTATTGGTTGTTGAGAATAGTTCCACTTGAATTTTGAATGATTGAAAAAAAAAAACTGCTTTTTTTTCTTTTCCATGTTACTATAGAATATACTCAAGTCAATGACAGCCAATTGCTAAGCATAAATAAAGAGAGAATAAAAGTTGCCGTTTCGATTTTCTTTCATTTAAAAAACAGTATACGTGACAAAAATACTATTGGATATAAGCAAAGTTAGAAATATGAATACAGGTAAATAGGATAACAGAACACAATCTTAGAAAAGGTGGTGCCGTACTTTTTGGGCTGATGCAATAGAATTTTCAAATAGTAAAAGACGTAAGGTCTCGCTTACCTCTTGCAATGATCTATCCGGGATTTTTTGGGCTTTTACACTCTAAAAGAAAATGCGACTTCACTCATGTGTCTATTGAGAAAGTGTCTTTTATGTGACTAGATTATATCTTCTAAACACTACGCGTCTTCTATAAGTCTTCGGTGTGTCTACGGATAGACACATGAAAGTCACACTGTAGTCGCACAGAAGACGTTTGAACAAGAAAGACGATTAGTAGTCACACCTTCGTGGATGGCTTGAAAATATAGGCTTACCTATTACCAACCGTTTGACGAATGTTTTCTTAAAGACGCGATTTCATTGCAGATGTAGAAGTGATTTCTAACTCTATTTCTAATTTAATCCGATATACCAGGTAGAGATGAGAAGACTTCAGGAAATGTACTGCGTGTGCCCTGTTTATACGAATCTCTTGACTTTCTAAAAGAGGTGGACAGAAGTTATCAATGAGAAACTTTATGACATTTTTGAGGAAGTAGTAAAGACTATATACTTCAGCATGTGAGACAAACAAATTGTCAGAAAAAAGCAATCTTTCTTTGTCCTAGAAACTTCCATGTGTTTCTGCTTTAAGCTTTTAACCAGTCACACTAGGAAGACACTAGTAAGACTAATAATTGATATGCCTTGGTGATTTGATGGTGAAAGTGTTCTTTGGTAAACGAACAGCTCGAGTTTAACTCTGAACAGGAACGAAAACGTTTTTCATGTGTCTTTTCCAGTAGACTCATCAAAGCAACTTCAAAGGAGTCATTTTAATGCGACTAAACGGGAACCGACTTTGGCGTCTTCCTAAAAGTCGCATTTTTTTAAGAGTGTTCCTTACAGAAAGTGGTAATCAGAATAATTTGCAGTGATTATGAAACGAGTAGTTCCTTACTGATGAACAAAGTTAATTTTCCTGATTTAAGTGATAGACGTAAATATTTTTGTTTGTTACATTTTCATAAAATTATGATAGGTAAAGAGCTCCCTCAAGATTTAACATGACCTTTAACTAGCAGAATGTTGGACACCACCGCAAGGCAGTGGTATTCTTCTGTGCTCGGTAGATCTTATGAGACAATTAAAGAAAGTTTGCATCGTAGCAGATTATTTCACTGAGAGAATGTTCTGTTTAGGTCGAATTTTGTATAACGTTGCATGTAGAGTGTGCAATGATAATTCATCCGGTAAACATTATGCTGTTCATGCATGTGACGGGTAAGTGAAAGTTTGTTATTCTTTTTAATAGTTGTTTTTATTATTGTTGACCAGAACTTATCGCCTACCAATTGAAATACAGTGTCTAATGTTGTCAAATAGCTGCGAGCCATCTCTTGTTAGAATTCATTCCACTACATATATATAAGGAGAGAAATGAACATATACTTATCGAACAAATAGTGAATTACTTGTTACATTCAAGTGGATAATAAGACACAGCATAAACATCTAAATGTTGCTCGTAGGCTATTAGAAAAGACGTGATTGACATCAGGAGTAATCAATTGACTGTCACTAGAACCAAAACTGGTTTATTTTATTTTATAGATGTGCGGGGTTTTTTAAACGCTCGGTACGACGAAATCGAACGTATATTTGTAAAAATAAAAATAAATGTGTAATTGATAAATATCGTCGAAATCAATGTCGTGCTTGTCGTTATCGTCGATGTATTGAAGCTGGAATGAACAAAGATGGTAAAAAAATATTTGTTAATCATATAAGAAATAACACTTTAATATTCTTTCTCTTAATTCAAGCTGTTCAAAATGAAAGAGGACCAAGATCTCAGTTTGGTGATGATCGTCATTTGAGAAGATATGTTTATGCAACCGATACGACGGATTGGCTTCATCGCCAACAAGAATACAAAATAACAACGGTATAGGTAATTCATTTAGAAAAAAACTGATCCAAACAACCGTCTCTCTTCGTTGAAGGAAACACCGCCATCGTTATCAACGCCATATGAAACATTTAAAATTGATTTATTTGTTTATGAGATGGCAGCTCGGATTTTATTTTTTATGGTTCGTTGGTTTAGATCGCTTAAACAATTTCAACTTCTCAGTATAAAAGAACAGGTAGAATAATAGCTTTTAAGTCAACCATTAAGGATTTTATTTATCTTATTAGATTGCCAGTTTACTCTACTGTTGGCACGAAATATTTCTGTTATGTCTAGCTGAATATAAATTTGATGTACCATGGAAATCTATCATACAAACGGGTAAAATATAGAAAACGATTAGCTTTGCTTAATGTTTAAGTTGTATTTCGTCTATAATTCACTTTTAGCTGAAAATAAAAAAATGGACTTTACTGGCAGTGAGGATGTAAAACAATTATACTTTATGTATGAATTACAGAATCAAATAAACCAATTAAATGTTGATTATATCGAGTTTTATCATCTAAAACTTCTGCTTCTAGGACGTGCGAGTAAGAATTATATGCGAAAATTCATGAATGAAAAGAGCTCTTATAAAAACTTTTGATTTTTATTCAGAAAGCAGTAAGAGATTATCGAGGAAGAAATGAACAGACTGTAGGTTCTGCTTTCGTTTATCGACAAATGAAAAGTGATACAATGTGTAGTAACAATTCTCCCACTCTAGAAATTATTTTTTCGGGCATCTGCGGAAATAATTACCTCTCAACCTATCTATTATCAATTCATGTAAAATTTTGACTTTTTCTACAAAACAAGCTGTTAGAAATGTATTATCAATTTTAAATTTGACAAACGCACATTATTTTGTAGAAAAAGATCGCATCAGATAGCACTACACATTTCAAAAACTAAGAATTTTTTCTTCAAAATGGAATTTTCGTCATAGTGTCAATTGATTCATTTATTTCATTTAGTTGAATACACAATATTTGGTCGTAATGTATTTGAGGAACATTTATTAGCCTTGAACGAACATGTTCGCTGTGCCTATCCGTTGCAGCCATTACGATTTAATCAATTAAAATCAATTTATTCAGCATTAAGAACGATTTCATCGATTAATGTACAGCAAACATTTTTCCAAAAAGTACTTGGCTATTGTTCAATAGAGGTGATATTGCGTAGCATGTATGAAACAATAATTCAACCATGATGATAATTGAAATATTTCTTTTCTTTTCACTAAGAACAGTATGTACAGTTTATAATGATGATTGTATGTGGAATTTTGGCTTTTTTGACTTCTTTATTCTACGTTATTGTTGTTGTTTGCCTCAGTTTTACAATAAAAGCTATATTTTTCCGGCCTACGATATCTTTGAAGCGAATATCATTTAATTTTTAAGACAACTGAAAATTTGTTTTCGAAGGCCCTGATTGACATTTGCTCATAATCTACCTAGCAATTTATTAAACTTGTTTGTTTAAGAATTCAAAAATCATTTCTTGAAATTTTCGTCAATCCATTCAGAACAACTACTTTTTTTTGCACGATGTCTAATGATGGATGATCAAATGGATATTTAACGCAGATTTACTATCGATTTGTTATTTAAGGAGACTACATCCAGGCCTGAATAGAACTGAGATATGGGGTGGGAGAAAAAAGTTTTTCCAGAGAACATGTCAGTTTCTAGAAAAATTACCTTATTTCTATGTGTGATACTGTTTTATCACCAAGATTCACAACAACAGCAATAACAAAAACAACCAAATTGAAGAATAGAAGCATAATTGTTGCTTCATTCACTAAATCTTTTCTAGGTTTCATTTTTACTTCACTGAACAATTATTTGTTTTCTAACGTGGCTAAATACACTTTAATGACATAATGATTTTCTTCTGCCATTCGATAGCCCGTGAGCAATTTGTAAATGGAACAAGCCGTTCAAGCACAGGAAATAGGCCTTCGACACTCTCACCAAAATAGTCTCACATTCGAAAGAAGAGGCAAAACTGAGTCGATTTTAGTAAAATATTAATTTGATTAATCTCGTGCATCCGTTACCAAAGTGACTAGAAGCCTGATACAAAGTTGGATCTGTTTATTCTATTTATCTATTTCTCTTCTAAATTCGATAGTCATATTAGTCTGCTGATGATACTGTGAAATATCGAAAGCTCGCTTTTTATGTAAAATGATTTTCAGTTATATTAAATATACTTAGTTTTATAAAAAAACGTAACAAAGTCAAAGAATGTCAATATGCTTCAATAGTGGGACGATTCCAAATTAGCAAGATCAATTGACATGAGAAATCACATTTAAAAAGTGCACACTTTGTCCAGAAGCCCATGACAGCATGAGAACGGCTCGAGTTCAAACGAACTTTTATGCCTGAGAAACGTTGGATATTGACGGAAGACAATATGGACTATATTTAAGAAGAGAACAGCAACAACAAGAATATGGTGGTGGTGAATGGTTTTGTACTCTTCTTTTGTTAAATCGATCATGAGCGACTCGATGTGCACTTGAATAGCATGCTGAGGCACGACGTCGCCGATGAACGATCGTGAGGACTGTATGCAGACATACTGCCCTAGTCGAGACTCCCGGCAAAACTCCAACGAGACTCCTGTCACGGGATCCTGCGGGAGTCAGGTGGGGATTTCTTCAAGGGATTTCTCAGGACTCCCGTGGGACTTTGAGGATTCTGAGGTCTACATTAGTCCAAAAGAGTCTCCATAGTGGAAATTTCTTAAGTCTTTTTATGTGGAAAATCTATAGTAAGCATCCGCAGTAAGCATCATAAAAAGAGCCAAACGAAGCACAATATCTCGACCCAGGGTATGCAGTATTTAAATATGAACGTGGGGACTTCTAAATCTAGCTATAACTACGCAGTTTCTCTACTGTAAAATATTTGGCGCCCTTTAATCGGCAAACCATGACTTGCCATAACCATCGTCAAGAAAAAAACCAGATTAACGGCAGTTGCACAGTAATACCTCAATAACTACGGTTTGAATAATTAAGTAAACTTACTTAAAACTTTTTTAAATAGGCCGAGAAATCTGATTTCCTTACTAGAAAACTAATAATATTAGATAACTTATAGTAGTAAAATCTTCGCGGGAAATTCACCGGAGGTAACCTATATCTCATAGTGCATTAGTGCATACCCAATCTGCTATTGATTGATGAGTCATCACATCACTGACCACATACTAATTTTTTCTACTATGTTTTTCACAGTGACGATCGCGAAAACAAGTAAAGAAATAAGGTCTTTTGTTATCTACCGATTAAAAAATTCGAGCGATCACAAGCAAGATTACATTATGGCGCTAAAGTCGAAAAAGAAATCACCAATAGAATTATTAGGCATATTAAAATAAAATACGATACCTTAACTAAATCTACTGTACAGATACTAAACGGGTTATTGTTGTTCGTTTCATAGAGAACAATACATCCAACATTCATGGACGGACTGTACAAGAAGACCGTATTGAAAAGAAAAAGAAACGATTGTATTGTATTAAAGTAGACTGAAAAGGCGATAGGCATATAGACACTATAACTTTATTCTTTTTCGATTTAACCACTGTTATATCATTCGTCCCGAAAAACTCGGTCTTTCCTGAGCAGCTCGATGGTGCCCCATAAGAATATGATCTTTTTTCGTGAGAAAATGCATACTTCTCCAGAAGAACTCTGGATGTTTCTCAACAAGAACTTCATCTTCTTTCGTCGTATTCAGATTCCACCGAGAAATAATGCGGCCATTGGATCTTCAATAGATGCTCATGATATTATGATTTTCCCTATACGAAGCCTATCAGATACCGAGCTAGATGCAATAATCGATCGCTCATACCCTATGAGGCTATTGCGTAGAAACATCCAGTTTTTTGAAAAAAAATGAAGTTCTTGTAGAGAAGTATGGAGTTTCGTACGTAAAAAGATCATATTTTTGTGGGGTAAACATCGAGTTTTTCAGGAAAGTTCTTGTGGAGAAAGACCGAGTTTTCAGCAAAAAGTTACACCACAAGATCATCACCTTATTTGCGCTAAAATTCCTTGTTTCCCCGCAAGAACTTCATCCCGTTTCCTCAAAAGGTTGGTCTTTCTCCGGAAGAACATCATCTTTTGTTCCGAAATACTCGGTCTTTCTCCACAAGACATCCATCTTTTTTTCCTAAATACTACGTCTTTCTCCGGAAGGGTTTGATCTTGCTTCCAGAAAACTGGATGTTTCTCCGCAAGAACCGCATCCCTTTTCATAAAAAGCTCGATGTTTATCCACAACTAGTTGATCCCTTTTCCCGAAAAACTTGATCGTTGTGTATAAGAACTTCCTCTTATTTGCCGCAAAATTCCAGATTTCCCCAAAAGAAGTTCATCTCTTTTCCTCATAAAGTTGGTTTTTCTTCGCAAGAAAAACTTGGTGTTTCCGGAATAATTTTAAGTTACACCAGAATGAATGTTTCTCCAGAAGAGCTTCATCATCTATCCCGAAAACCGCGGTCTTTCTCCACAAGAAACTCAACCTTTTTCCTGAAAAGCTCGATGTTTCCCAAGGAGAACTTCATCTCTTTACCTGAAAAACTTGATCGTCCTTCATAGGAACTCAAAATTCCAGCAAATTTCCATGTCTCCCCACAAGAACTTCCGCAAGTTCCTCTTTCTCCGCAAGAACTTTTCTGAAAACTTGATCGAACTTTTCTTCGGGACAACTCGAAGTTACACCACAAGACCGTCACCTTATTTGCGCTAAAATTCCTCGTTTCCCCAGAAGAACTTCATCTGTTTTCTTCCGCTCTTTTCCTCAAGCAACATTTTAATTTTTTAAAACTCAAAAAAGGCTTTATTCTCTGAAAGATACTAATCAGTTAAGAAATAAAACAAATGCTAAATTTCCAGTCATTTTCACAGAAAGCAGTGCATATGTAAAATTTGAATATGCGATGAGAACAGCTATTTTCGTAGCACGAAAACATGTAGCTGATTTTGAGAAACTAGATGTACTGACCTTCTGATTCAATATGGATGGTAATTTATGTTCCATGAACAAAGTGCTCACGTTCGTCCTTGTCGTAACTGTTTATGGTGCTATTTTCTCCGATCCATGCTTTATCACTAGATATTTTTTCAACTCATACTTTCTTTAAAAAATGTTTTTCTGTGTTCTTTATAGCATATTAAAGAGAGTGATAGTACGGAAATAAAAAGAAAAGGAAAAACCAATAATTGTTTGGTCTGAATTATCTTTCTGATACTATAGATGATTATAGACTTCAATTGCGTGTTTCTATTCTTCCTTAGTTCTTTATAGACTTTTTGTTCTTCTTCTTGGAATGCATATGAGGCGGTACACGATAGAAACCTACTTTTTCCGCATAGGGTGCTCAATGAACTTTCACAGAACTTTTTCACATTTCAGGGTATACAGACGAAAGAGCCCTGAACAATTTCGCCTCTTGACATTTTTTTCCAAAATGCTTTCCCTCGACGCTAGGGCGCTTGCAAAAAAAAGTCGTAAAATACAGAAAAAAAGCGATTTTTCAGTCGAAAATTTTGCTTACGCTATAAGTCCATCAAATCAAATGCTAATGAGCTTAAATTTTTACCAGAGCTGTCTTTGTATGAGTACTATCTATGAAATAAATTTGAGCTTGTTTGAGTTCAGCCTTCTCCAAAAATAGTTTATTCTTTAGACATAGACAAAACGTGATCGGCCGTTTTGCAAAGATGTTTTTGCAACCGAAGATGGTCCGTTTGAAGGGCTCTCTACGGTTTGGTGAAGTAGACCTAGAGTACTACCATGAACCGTCGTCGAGTTCTTGGAGAAAACACTCGGGGACCTCTTATCAAAAACGCCCAAAGCACTTCGGAAAAACCTGAAAATTTTTCTTTTAAAACCCATTGAATTATATGCCATTCGACGCAGCATTTCATTCTGCATCTGAATATGTATAAAGGAACGTTTCACCGTGCACAGGAAAGAACTTCGGGTTTTCCAAGGTTTTCCACCTTTTGCTGGGCTAAAAGACATTTTTATTCAAAATAGGCTTTCTATACTTCATCGTACAATTCAGTGCTGATTCCGAATATCTATGTTACAGTGCTTCAAAGTTAACAGGAATGACAGAAAGCTCGAGTCTTCAAAGTCACAATTTTCAAAATAATCTGTACTTCCAATTCAG